AAAAAAAAAAAAAAAATACAAGCCAGTAAACAACTGTAACATACCTTGGATTGATTTTTTCAAGTCCAAGAACCAAAGGAACTAATAAAAGAATGGGGGTCCAATCAAGTTGGCCTTTTGAAAACTCAAAACAATGTCTTGAGGCATCATCAATGTATAAAACTGGAGCACCACCTCTCTCTCCGTCCTCGTCTCCAGAAACAATGTAAATGGCCATTGGGAGTTGCTGGTCTTGGAGATTAGGGGTCTCCCTCTTTAAGCGGACAAGAGTCTCCCATGACCTACACATCGCATAAGGTCCCACCCATGACCCAGCAGCAAGGTCATAGGCCCTTCCTGCCTGAAGAATATTATGGATTGAAAATGCTGACTTCTCCGAGTCACCAAAAAGGTGCAAAATTTCAACATATTCTTTATCCAATGGCTGCCAATTAAAGACAATTACTTTTAATGCTAATTGTTTGGGAAATACATCAGTAAGTCAAACAAATCTTTCAGTATCGTCACCATACAGCCATACCTTCCGAGAAGTCTTTCTCCAAGATCTTCCTAATCTATGAAAAAGTAATGCCTGTAAATAATACGGAGATTAATAAAAGGAAATAACAAATACCTTTTTGGAAACCCTCATAACCAAAGCATGGTTAGTACAAATGCATAAATTAAAAAAAAAAAAAACAGAACCGAGAGTGAGAACAGCAATGGCTAGAGTATGAATTTGTCTACCTGAGCAACAAGCATTTGACTGCTTCTTAGCATGCAGCCCCAATTTACATCACTGGTGTATTTTGAGTCTTGAATAACATTGAAACCTATAAATGGAGAGTCAAAAAGTTAACTGCACGTTGTCCAGGAAACATATGCCTTATGATACAAGTATAACTAAAAGAGAGCATATTTCATGAAACCTTTACGATAGGTAATCAGAATTCTAGATGAAAAATCTAGCTCGAATCCTGCTGCACCATTGCTAGTAACATCATCAGGAGCCTGATCCTGGGAAATTTTATGGCACACACCAAGAAGCCATATATCACCGCCGGAGCTATAGACACCACTCCTGTGAGAACCCAATATGCGCTCCTGAAGTCTCCTCATTGAGCCACTAGTCATAACTTTTCTTACAGTTGTCCAGACATTTTGTCGAGAATGAAATGTCTTCTTTTCACTAACAGAGGGCTCTTTGTGATGTTCAAAGATTGTTAAAGTAGATGTAAGGAAGCTTGACCATAAGGAGGCTTTGGAGGATACGTGATCTTTAGACCCTAACTCTGGACAAACAGATTGCTGAGTTCTATCTATACTATCAGTTGTACTTGCAGAAGAGCATGTTGAATTCAGATCTTTCCCCCTTCCCATGAACCCTTCATTACCTAGCCAACAAAGTGAAAACAATTCAGAATACAATGACTAGAAACGAAGTTATTTCAAGAAAATTCCACAAGTCAAAGTTAATATAGAGATAAGAAAAAATTAAAGGGCGAGCTTTTTATAGGCCCAAAAAAAGGCGAGTTCCAGAAAAAGAAAGCACATGGAATGAAAATACAGTACAAGAGGACTCATGGAAGAAAACATGGGCACGGGGATGTTATCACAAAAAATTACAGATTCCAGTCATAATAGTGTGTATTAGTGACTAAGAAAACAAATATGAATGTAATTCGTGCTTCATTTCATCTCTCCTTAAAACATTCTACACGAAATGAATGATCAACATGAGTGCCATGCCGTTTTGGTTCTGTAGCCTTGAAACTTCTTAAAGAGCTAACATGAAGAAAATAGCTCCAACGGAAAAGAATAAGACCAACAGGATACTTACACAAGTTCTTAAAAAAATTCGTCCAAATTGAGGCATCAAACTTGATGAATAATTAAAAGAAAACAATCATAAACTGTTAAATGCTCAACTTTCATTTTAATTAAGACAGAATAAGAGCTCACCTTTAGAGATGGTTGCATTCAATCACTTCGAATATATATACAGAACTGAAATGCGTTTAGCAAGAGCATGATTGATGAAAACATGTTTCAAGTTTTACCAAAATGATTTCAAATATTCAAAGTTGCGTGCACGTGAAAAAGTTAATGATGACAGCTGATAACAGGATATCTCCAGTCAAAACATTGAAGAATTCGCTCAATATAAAACTGCGAAGTCATGAACGCACAACCGGAAGCAAACAAACCTATTAGAAATTGCAGAAAATAAAACAGGGAGAAACGAAAAAGAAGATCAGTGAGATGAAGAAAAATCCAAGTAGCCGAAACATGAGAGAAATCGTCAGGAAAAACAAAGAAAAAAACCTTCTGAAGGCGTTAGAATCCAGCATCCTCTATTCAGCGCAAGAGCCTCCAAGCAAGCAATCAAAGTAGATATTCGCTATCAATTGGGTTCCCAATTTCACAAAATTGTGCGGCTTCAAGCACGAGGGATTAAGAATTGATTGTAATTGCGTAGGCGATCAGCTTCCCAGTATATAAAAACTGGGTTAAATCAACGTCAATGGGGGAATTAGGATTCATTATTGAAGCTGCTTCATTTCTGGTGAGCTTCGACTTCGAATGAGTTGTCGCTAAGCTGACTTTGGGCTCTTTCTCTTGGGCTGCACCTCGGCCCATCTTGGACCCTATAAAACAGCCTAAATTAAAAATAATATCTTTATTATTATTTTTTTTTAAAACAAGTCTAAAAAATAGGCCCATCATTCTCATCTTCCTCTCTCTCAGTCTTCACGCCGGCTCCTCCTCCTCGCCGCCGCGGCTATCCCGTTCTGACCAGGCCGTCGCCGCCGATGCCTGTCGCAATTTGTTTTGCCGTCTGCCCGTCGCACGCCACCATCGGCCTCTTCTTTCCGTTGCATACTTCTGCTTTCGTCGGCGACTATCAATGAATTCGAACCAAATCGAACCGGATTCCAATCCTAGGTCATTTGCGATTTTTTGTACTCTGTTTTCGGTAAATATAGGAATTTTCTAAAAGTTATTATGCTGACTTATTTCATCTTAATCGTTTGCAGCTGCGCCTCGTGAAAGAAAGCATTTTGTTGCCGTGAAATTACCCTATCAATGGCTCTCTTTCGAATCTTTTACCCCCGACCATCATCATTTCGATTCAAGATCTCCACCTTATCTACCTTGCAGCTAAGTACAGTCTCTTCTGCCGATTTATTTTATGACCATCTGCAGAAAAAGAATGGTAATGTGGAGAAAACCCTTGCTACTGTAAAAACCAAGTTGGATTCCAGATGTGTCAACCAAGTATTGCATAAATGTTCTTTGGAACTGTCCCAAATGGGTCTTAGATTTTTTATATGGGCTGGTCGACAACCTAATTATAGGCATAGTTCTTTTATGTACACTAGAGCTTGTGAACTGATTGGACTTAATCGAAGTCCATGTTTGCTTTTTAATGTTATTGAAGATTATAGAAGGGAGGGTTGCCTTGTTGATATTGGGATGTTTAAGGTTATTTTAAATTTGTGTAAAGAAGGTAAGCTTGCCAAAGAGGCTTTGTCGATATTAGGGAAAATGGCTGAATTTCATTTGCGTGCTGATACTACAATGTATAATCTGGTCATAAGGTTATTTACTGAGAAGGGAGAGATGGATAAGGCGATGGAGTTGTTGAAAGAGATGGATTCAGTTGATATTGATCCTAATATGATCACTTATATTGCCATGCTCAAAGGATTCTGTGATGTGGGTCGTCTGGAGGATGCTTATGGATTATTTAAGGTTATGAAGGACAATGGATGTGCACCCAATACAGTGGCTTACTCCGTGCTACTTAATGGTGCCAGTCGACATGGGGATCTGGAAAAGCTAATGGAATTGTTGGAAGAGATGGAAAAACAAGGGGGAACTTGCGGTCCAAATACTGTCACGTACACTTCCATAATCCAGAGTCTATGTGAAGTAGGCCAGCCTCTGGAGGCATTGAAGATATTGGACAGAATGGAAGACTTTGGTTGTGCTCCAAATCGTGTTACAGTTAGCGTGTTAGTAAAGGAATTTTGTAAAGATGGTCACATGGAGGAGGCTTATAAGTTGATTGATAGAGTTGCTGCAAGAGGTGGTGCTTCCTATGGTGATTGCTATAGCTCACTTGTAATATCCTTGATCAAGATGAAAAGGATTGCCGAGGCAGAGGAGCTATTTAGAAACATGTTAGCCAATGGGGTGAAGCCCGATGGCGTGGCTTGTACTCTCATGATCAAGGAATTGTGCTTAGAGGAGCGAGTGGTAGATGGTTTTAACTTATGCAACGAAGTCGATAGGAATGGATATTTATCTTCCATTGATTCTGATATTTATTCTCTTCTTTTAGTTGGACTTTGTGAGCACGACCACTCTGTGGACGCTGCAAAACTTGCAAGGTTGATGCTTCAAAAAGGGATTCGTTTAAAACCTCACTATGCTGAAAGTATCATCAAACATGTGAAAAAATTTGGAGACCAAAATTTAGTTATGCATTTGGGTGGAATAAGGGAATGACAAGCAAATCCTTCCAAGAACCTAATATGGTTTAGAACTAAGGTTCTTAGCAAGCTTCAGTTGATTAGAAACAACAAACATATTGGTTGTTTAGCCATAGTGTAGATATGGATGTCAAACCAGTCTCAATTGTTGGTTACAAGTCGAGAGATGACTATGTGACCTTGTGATCCTCATGAGTGTTTCACTTTACTGATTGCTGGAAAGGTATGACAAAAGTCCTTCCTAACCACAAATCAAATCGTACGTGTTAGAGGTTACGAGTTCTATTTTGATCGTGTACCTGAAGTACATCTTACTAGTTTCTCAAATTTCAATATTGTCAGGTCAAGTGAAGATGCGTTTAAAATTTCGATATAGCCAACCTGAAGCACGTTCAATAGCGGTGCTAAGCAACGCTGCCCTGTATTCACAAGCTTAGTGCCACCCAAGGTCCTACGGCAGATTGTGAATTGTTGATGTCTTATTTGTTGAGAAGAGCATTTCGAGAGTGTACATAAGCCTTTGACACTCGTTTGTGCCTCTTTCCCTTATTGACGTTTGACTTGGCCCTGACTTCTGCAACATAGTTTGCATCCGTTTGAGTAAATGAATCGAAGAATCGAAGAGCGTATATGGTATTCACGAGCCATACGTATTTAGGGATGTTCATTTTTCTGGTGGAAAATGGGAGAGTTTTTGAGTTGACTAAATGCGGACAGAGAAGTAAAATACATTCATCATCCCTTTTTCTGTACTCCACTCCTATTATTATTACTTTAATATACATGTTTGAAATATTTGGGACTTTTTGTAATATTTACTATTATTATTATTATTTTGTTATTAAATGACTCGTGCTTGTGCCATTGAGTTAAGATCAACGTTAGCAATGTTTGCTATTTAGATTTGCTAGAAATTTCACCAACTTTAACAACAAGCTTCATTATTGAAAATTGTACATTTAACGAGTTAATTCTTCCCCTTCTTTTACTTGAAATTTAGACTTTGATAATTTGTGAAACATCATTCATGTAACTAATTTTGAAATATTTCAAAGATATGATTAAAATAAGTTTAAAATTCTAGTAAAATTTCGTTATATTTTGTTACATTTCATCCGAAAACATCAATTCATCCCTTGTGTTATATCAAATTGTCAATGATAAAATTTATAACCTTGCACATACGTGAATATTTTTCTATAATATAATAAAAACGTCAAATTATCTCATGTCATGTCAAATATGTCGATGTCAAACCTTATAGGCACAACGGACTTTAAAACTCTACACGGAAGCGAGGTGAAACGAAAGGCGCCTAATGCTAACATTAGCTATTTCAACATTTTCATTCTCTTCCAAAAGAATCAAATTCACCATCCAAAGTTAGTGCCAAAACTAAGTAGTTAAAACAAAAGGAAACCCCTCTTACATAGAGACCATGACAATTAAGTGACAAAAGAGTTCAGTCAACAACCCCTTGGCATATCTATGGAAGGGCATCATACTTCTTTTTATAAGAAAAAAAAAAAAAAAACGCCCACTCTTCCTCCAGATGGTACTCTTTTATTTACTCCTGCACCCGCAAAATCAATTACCTCTATATCAGACAAGTATAAACGTCTCCACAGACAAAGAAACAAACATTATGCAGAAGAATTCACCTTGATTCATTCATAACCTCTACTTTCACTAGTCAATACTAACAAAAGCCCTCACTTAGATCCTCATGGCTGTTATATGTACATTCTCGCTCGAAAAATGTGGACTACCCCATAATAAAAGTTAGATGCTGGTTCACAATACATTTTCGAACGTGTAAACTATCCGGTACATCGTTCTAGCCTCTAAAAAATTTTAGTCTTGCTCATCCCTAACAGTCACAGTATCTGAACCCTTCAAGTAACTAACATATTGACCCTCTAACTTTTTTCACTTCCTCTGATCGACGTCCCTATCAGCTATCAGGAGTTAGTTCTAATATAGCCTATACACCTTATGGAAGAATGACCTCCTTTGATTCGAAGCTGAACAAACTAGGAAAGGAGGCAGGTCCCTCTAATTAACTAACTTATTTGTATAAGAATATGAATGGATGAACTTGTCCATCCAGTAACTGTCGTGATTTCAGATTTTATATGCTTTCTCAATGAGCAGTGTGAAGTTCCAAGAATTTCTATTTTGAATCAAGTTGCGCATACCAGTAGTAATAACAGAGAAGGAGATGTCGCATACCTAGTTCTCATCCTCTTCACCACCATCCTCCCTATTCTTCTTGAGGCGAGTGGTACCGCCCACTTTAATGATGGGCAACTTCATCTCACCGAAAGGTGTGTTGACACGAATATTCCCTTTTATGGTGTAGCCAGTGCCTCTTCCTCTAATCATTTCCCAAAGTGCCGAACTGAAGTCCTTAGGCCTGAAAGTGATTGGTAAGTCGACGTAGCTGATCCCATTTTTATCAATGGGTGTAAATTTGGAGAGATCCGAGCGTCCAATACTAATATCAGAGAGCCAAACTTCACAGTCGAGGTCCTTCAATCCCAACTCAAAGTCATTCTTATTTTCCAATTTCAAATGGAGAATGGCAACAGTTTCTTCAAATGAAAATCTCTGGAAATGTATCTTCTCAATACTGACGTCGGGCTTGTAAGGAATAGGGATCTCTCCAGTTTTCTCAAGTGGCAATGTCAGTCTCCCAAAAACAGGCACATCCACAATTAGATCAACCTTGACCCTGTAAGGAATGATACTGCCAGGTTTAATGTCATTATATGTGTTCTTTATATCATCATAAACCAACTTCAGAGGAATTTTGAGAGTCTCCTCTCCATGAGCATGAATTGTTCCAGCATCAGGAATCAGACCAGAGATCAGTTTCCTGCCATCACTCTCTATCAAATAGTTAATGTCAATTAGAGGAATGGGAACAGGATTAGGGTTTTTAACCAGAACATCAACGACAATCTCAGCCTTCTCAAGATTGATCGAGATAATATGAATTCCAGTGACATCGGCAGTCGGCTTCCCGAAACTCATCTTTTCTTCAATCTTCTCGCCAACGTCATGCATAAAACCTTTCACTTTGTTAAGGAATCCACCCTTCTCTTCATTTTCACCTTCCTTCTTGTCTTTGTCTTTATCACCCCTTTCTACGATCTCAGGTCTATATGAAGACGCCATAACTTCATTGCAAATCACAAATGCGCAGATTTAGAACAATTCTCAGATTTATTCTGTTCTAAAAATTCAAAGATGCAATTGGATGGTAACGTAAACAAAATATGTATTGCAAAAGAAAAATGCACCGTTTGCCTCAACAATATGAACCAAAATTGTAGAGACTGAGAACAATAGTTTCAAAATCAAATATCATCCTGTGGTGATCAATATATTTTCCGGCGAATAATACTAGTGCCGAAAAGTCTACCAAACTAACAAAACATCCGCAAGAAACGATACAAAAGACATTAACAATTTAGCAATAAGAAAACCTGGAAAAGCAATGGATTGAGTCAGATGAGGAGGAGACGAGACAAGTCGAGGAAAACAAATATGAAGAGGTTGTAAGAAACAAAAAGAAAAGCGAAGGGAGCATGGAAGAGAAGAAAAATGAGAGCAGAAATTCAAAATGTAGCAGTAGAAAGGAGAAGAATTCACCTGAGAGAGAGAGATCAGAATCGCAGTGGGAGCGGAAGGAATTGAAGCAAGAAGAAGAAGAAGAACAGAGGAGAGAGGTTTAGATCCGAAGAAGGAGGACGAAATGACCGATGAGATTGGCGCCAAGGGACACGTTGTGGGCTTTACGCGCGGCCCATCAAATTTCTTGCCATGAATAATACTTCACGTGCCTCCACGTAGACAACACCCATTTCAACCACTAACATCTTTTCTTTCCAATATATTTATAATTTTTATATTAACAAAATAATAAATTCTACAAATTATCCTTTAATTTCCCCCTAAATTTCCATAATAAAACAACGTAGTCAGGTTAGGATACTTGGAATTAAAAAATAAATAATTTCGCACGCAATCTTCTAAAAATATTAAAATTATAGGAAAAAAATAATTTTCAAAGCCGCCCAATTTGCAAATTAATGACGTCATATAAACTTCTTTTTTTGCCCCTCAATTTACATTCCTAGTATTTATATATTTCATTTTAATTTCATGCAAAAATATTAAAAATTGAGTTCTTTAAGTCAATTTTTAGTCATAAATGGGAAAATCTTTATTTTATTTTATTTTATTTTTTAAATTAATTTTTGGAATAATTTAAAAATTCAATAGTTAAACTTACCCGTTGGGTAGAATTTCTATATAATTCTCTAATTTTAAATATTTGAATACTTTTCAATCAACTCCAATTTTATAATATCCATTTCCCCACCGATTCTTGTTTCTCTCTCTTCTGCATCAGCCCCCAGTTTTCTTTTCTTCTCCACGCGCCTCCTCTCTCTCTCTCTCCCTTTCTCACCTCCGGTCACCGCGCACCGTAGCACCAGGCTCGGGCGCCACGCCGCCATTCTGTCTAGTGCCTGGTATCCGTTGAATTCTGCGCCTCCAGTTGGCCCGTTTCTTTTTATTTTTTCGGTAATAGCGGTAAGTGCTGCGTGGTGGTTCCTGATCTGCGTGATCCACGAGCTATACCGACGCCTTCTTGGCTATCCGGAAGTGACTCCATTGAATCAGTGGCGAACAGACCATTGACGTGTATTTCCCTTCTGTTCGACGACTTTCAGTATTCACCTACTTGAGATCGGGCCTCGAAAACACTCGATCATCCACGACTCGTTTGACCCCTGATCGTTTTACCCACTTCGTGTCGACGTTGGATCTGTGAGGAATTCGAACACCGGCCAGCAGGATTAAAGGCTTCTGGAGTGAGTTTAGTTGGTAATTTTGCTCTAAATTGCTTTTGAACTCAATTTAAAGGCTGTAAATTGGACTCTTAACACTCGAAGTTTTCGTTGTACTTGGGTTCTGATTGTTCGATTGAGGTCTAGAGGCATTTTTGGAATAAAGGTCAGTTTGGGTAACGTTTCTTAGCGTTTTTGGGTAAATTTACATCATTAATTGGACCCCAAATGTGGTTATTAATTTTAGAATATGTTCTTTGGTCTTAGGTCATGTTTTTCTGTAAGAAAAAGAAAAGATTGAGTGGTTTGGAATCGCTCTGAAGTAAGTGGCTTTCCTATCGGAAGGCCCTAGTGCTAGGTTGGGAATTGTGTGCTGTAGTTGTCTAGGTTTATGTGTGTAAAATGGTATGTGTGAAAAATGGCATGCTATGTCTATGCATGATGAATATTATGCTATGTCTATGCATGATGAATATTATGCTATGTCTATGAATGAAACGTGAATGAAAAGTCGTGCATGTTAGTACGAAGTGTTTATGAATGAGATGCATGCTGAAAGTCTTGACGGTGATACACGTGAGAGAATTTCTCCATATTGTAGCATTATAATGTTCTAAATTTTTCATGTGCGACCACGTAAAAGTCACGAGCTTTGAGACTGGTAACTTCCTTTTCTTCATGAAAGATTTAACTACATGTTCAAGAGTTCTAATTACATGAATGTGATGTGCATAGAATTGGAGTCACTTACCGAGAATTTTTAGTACTCAGTCTTTGCTTTTAAATTTTTTCAAGTAATGACAAGAGTGTATATGGCGCATGACGAGGCGAAGTGTTAATAGTGTCATAGGATTAAAAGAGTTACATTTCTGCGTTCATTATATTTTTTTAATAGTTTAAGCTTTGAAGTAATGTTATAGAAATATTTCTATTGGTTTAACACTTCATCGTTGTTTTATGTTTTTCAAGTTTTCAATGTTTATAATTGTTTTATGTTTTACAACTTTTCAATGGGATTCCAAATAAATATTTTTGATTGTTCAATAGAAAATTATTTCTCTCCATGCTTTTTCTGAAGTAGTTTTAAACTATTCTAGCATGCACGTAACAACATTCCTAGTAAGTTTAAGTTGAATAAGTCGGGGCGTTAAATTTACCTTTTGGGTTATTGATTTTCAGGATCATTACCGTGTGAAGATAGCAAATTTTCTTTGTCATTCTCTTCCCTGATCTTCTTCTTCTTTCAGAACTTCTTCGATTGATAAGCAATCTTTGTTTTATCTGTTGAAACCAAGCGATTAATCGGTGGGATTCTTGGTCTTGGACCATGTCGTTCTCTGATTCCGATTCTTCTTCTAATGGGGGCGACTACAAAAATTTCAGGCAAATCAGCCGTGAGCGTGAGTCTTATAACTCTCTTTTGCACTTACTTTCTTTTGTCTTGATAGTTCTCAAATAAATCACGTAGTTTGTGTGGATATCTGTTGAATTAATCCTCCAAGTGTTTTTTGTTTTCTAGAATCTGTAATAATTCCATTGCAGACTGAAATGAAAGGTTAAACTACAGTTAATTTTTTCCGGGAAAGGATGGTGTGTTTTTACTGGGAATTTAATTTGGATGATAAGGGGTTTCAGTTCCAGTATAGTTATTTTGAAGTCTCTGCCTATGTATAAGCTTGGACTAGAGGTTTAATTTGCAGCCTCCTGAAATTTCTTTAACTTATGAGTTGAATTTATGGAGAGGTTTTCCTGTTTTTTTTACTCTAGTTATTATGATGTTGTCCATACATTCCTTCCAGTTCTGGGTACTTAATGTTTTGGAAGAAGTCTTTCTAAAGCTTAATGGTGAATTGTACTAAATTTGGCAATGCATTTACGCATAGTGCATCCAGTTCTGGTTTGGCATGCATCCTGGCTCTGGTAAGCATTAAGCCACTCGAGGTGAACGTGTTAAATGAAAACATGCTACCAAATCCCATAGGGCATTTCACGTTACTACAAATTTTCTTATTAACGACCTTACTCTTCTTTTGGGTTTAGATAAGTTATCTTTCCCAAATGTTTCGGTGGTTGGTTCAACTGTTCTTTGGAATTTATCTTTAAGTGGTGAGCTGACCACTAATATTAACTGAAATCCAAGGTGTTGTCCCCCTCAAAAGACCTGTGAGTTCTTGATGTGATGGAATATTAATTTGGAGGTTGTTTTAGAGGGGCTTGTGAAAACATCTTTTCACTTACCTCCTAGCAACTTTTCATTTTTCTTTTTGATTGGAATCAAAACTTTGATCGTTATAAATATTTCATTTTTCATAATATTGCATAGTACAAAAAATCGACCTTAGATCTTTAATCTTCCCGGATGGCTAGTGCATTGCACCTAATAGACCAGACCTGTTTACTTATATCCATTTTAAATTCACCTTCAGGATTGCTGCATGAGATGCTTCGCTCAGCCAAAACAGGGGATTCCAAATCAACTTGGAAGGTATGTCATATTCATAACCATCTTCGTTGAAACGAATTTCTTTTGAGCCTACTCGTTACTCATCTTCATTCATGAAACATATGATTCTTACGTGGCTTTGGAATTTGCAAAATCTAATGTAGCAGTTTGCTTTTAATTACTTGGACTTTTCGAATGGATACTTGGAAAAAAAATTGGAATTTTCAATTTGGAATTTATGGAATTTTCTGTGTTTTCCTCCTCTTCCTCTGGTGAAAAAATCTGCTAAGTTATTCTTGTTTAGTTTTCTTTTGAACAAGCAAGAACCATTGGTTTGCTTTTCGTTTGGTTTACTACACCACATTCCCTTTTAAATTTCTTGGTGCTTGAATCTGTTGTTTGCAGGTTCTCATCATGGACAAACTTACCGTCAAGATAATGTCATACTCATGCAAGATGGCTGATATCACAGATGAAGGTGTTTCATGTAAGAAACACAAGCAAATTCTCTAAGAATTTTTTTACCAAAGATTCTAGATTGCCTTCTGTAATTCACTCGTGTTGTGTAGACAATATATTGCATTTTCACGATATTAGTAGCATTTACTACAAAAAGAAAAAAGAAAAAAAAAAAAAAAGACTCCACACCGAGATGGTTGGCAACTCTGGAAGTGAAAACCAAGGAGGATGATAACTAAATGATAGAAAACATTGCCACAAATTTTGTTTTTTGGAATTTTCCACACATAAAAAAGGACTCCACACAGAGATGGTTGATTTGGAAGTGAAAACTTTTTCTTAGCCATCCATAGCTCAGAGCTATATTTATTGTGGTAAATTATTACAGAAATTCTTTTGGAGTCTAGATCTATTCCCCGTTTGGACTTTATAGTTTCTGGGCTTTGAAAGTATTTGGGTTGTTTTGGTTCTGCAGTGGTCGAAGACATATACAGACGAAGGCAGCCACTGCCGTCCATGGATGCTATCTATTTCATTCAGCCTTCTCGAGAGAAGTAATATACGTATACTTTTATACGATATACAATCATACAATCCCATGTGATAGTCTCATTTAATTGTGAACTTTAAAGACCATACTTTGGCTTTACCTTTTACTCTGCAAAGATGGAACGTAATGTATCTTTTATGTTTGATTAGACTTTTTATTTGGTTTTCTGCATTTAGAGTTCTTCTTTTCTCTCTTTGATGGTTATGACTTTAATGTTTGTCTCATTCTGTTTTTGTCTTAATTTATGCTTATTGCTCTTATATTGCATAGATTGAAGTAGAAAAGAAAAAGATTCTATACATTTATCTATAACCTCGTCAGAGGAGATTTTTCTAACCTCGTCAGAAGAACCCTTCTTCCCTTTCTTTCTGTTATGATAATATCTTACGTCTCTTGTAAAAGAAGAAGTTATATTTTGTTCCAACACAGGAATGTAGTAAATTTAGGAATGTTTATTATTTTAGATTGATCACATAAATTGGAGTTGAATTGTTCATTATCTCTCTCTTTTGAACTGCAGTGTTATCATGTTCCTGTCAGACATGTCAGGGAGGTCTCCTTTATACCGGAAGTATGTATACCTAGTTCCCAATTGTGTAATGCTTCTAGTTGAGTATTATTTTGGTAATAGTTGTTGAATCTATTTTCTTTTGTATCTTTGAAGGTCATTTGTTTTCTTCAGTTCACCTGTATCAAAAGAATTAGTCAGTCACATCAAAAGGGATTCGACTGTTTTACCTCGCATAGCTGCCCTAAAAGAGGTTACTGATTTTCAAGCCGAGGCTGAAGTTTCTGCTTGATTTTGTTTTTCGTTGCAGTGTTTTGGATTATAGTTCAGCTGGTTACTCTATTTTTTTTCTTTAATTTTTAGATGCAAATGAATATTTACTTTTTCACCTTTCGTTCCATGTCAATTTACAGATGAATTTGGAGTATTTCGCTATCGACAGCCAGGTACCTCTAGCCTACTTGTTAATCAGTGCAGGAGTATTATTCAATAACTTATTTATTGTACATCTCATATTTTTATTCTTCTTTAGAAATGTTGTTGGCCTACCGTCGGAGTTCATTGCAAACTGTGATGATATTTTAATTAGTTTTTCTTCTAAAAAAAAATATTTTGCCTTCTACTCACTAGTCCTTTCCAAAGATTACTCTGTTTTTTTAATGACCCACCTTCCGAGGCTTCAAATCATGGATTGCTTTGTGGAGTTGAGGGTAAAAAGGATGGTTAAAATTTTCAGTTTTGTAAAACGGGAGACACGAGGAAATTAAAATCAATGTAAACAATTAACGATCATAAAAAGTGTTATAAATACAAAATGTGTCTGCGGGGTCATTAAAATAATATTAAAAATGACATAAAAGTAGATGACTCATTCTAGAAGTCCCTTGCAGTTGCACGGTGTCACAACCATACTATGCAGAGTGATGCTCACGTTAAGTCAACCAAAGCGGATACCCTTAAGAGGCGCCCATCCAACCATGTGAGGACCAATATAGAAGAGTGTCATGATGCGGTCGAGACAAGTGTCTCGAATGACTTCCTTTGAAATGGGTCTTTCAAAGATAGTACCGGGCGAAACGAGTGTGTTAATATTGCGTCCTTGCCTGCGTGTCAGAGGTTGGTTGTTGCACCTGCTATCTGGTACGATATTTGTAAATGACATGGCATGGGCACAGGATGGCCAATGCCTCGATAGAGCCCAGATGGATGGATGTTTGGGATGTCACGAGATTATGAACGACTTGTGGGCCCGTAGTCGATAGTATGATCGAGTGAGTTACGATGGCTGTGATGCCCCGTTACTTGGGATGACGTGAAGACATATGGGCCATGTTTATTGGGAACGTAGATGATGTTGGATGCGACGTTGCATTGAGAGACCTTGGCCTCGAGTAGGGGCAAGGTCGAACCGAATAATTTGTCCTATTGTAGAGGTAAGTTGTGTCAGAGATAATTGAATATGCACTTGTAGGCGGCGTGTGTGGACGAATAAGTTTGGATTCTGCACGAGCAATGTTCAGTTGGCAAAGACAAACCTCGCCTAAGGTCCGATGAAGCCACAATGCTAAGCGAAAAATGAACCAAAGGGTTGAAAAAGATCATGACACCGCATGGTTGAAAAAGTACGACTGTGACAATTGGTATCAGAGCCACTATTTGTGTGTCTAGTTGGACAAGATTGTTAGAGAAATGAACATGGGGGTTGAATGAAAGGCATCACAAGTGCGTCAAGAGTGTGTATCGACAAGACAGTTGTGTTGTCAAGCATTAGCGAAAGTAATGGGTTGAAGCCAAGACTCTCCCAAGCTCAAGGATGTCGGTCATGACACATTAATGAGGGGTGTCCTTACTCGTTAAGCAAGAACCAAGCTCATTTGTCAAGGGCTTGGGGTTCCGATGTGGGCAAAATAGATGAATCAGAAGGTGCATCAGATTGATGCCTTCCAAAAAACCATTCGCATGAGAGGAATAATGTCAATGGTTGCAAACACAGAAGCCAGGGGTCAGTTGAGACATGTGCCAACCAAGTGCCAGATTGTGCACAACGCAAGTCCTTATGGGGGATGACATTGCTGCAAGTGAGGCAACCAAAATTGGGTAGAGGAAAGCCCTCAAGAATGCGTTGTTCACCCCGAGAGAGTGCTTCAAGAAGCGAGCACAAGTGAATTCCTTGAGTCATCCCCTCTTGTCTAAGGTGGATGACTTCACAAGAGGCTCAAGACTAGCATCAACTCGAGAAATGAGTATTAGTTGGATGAAGGCGACAAAAGAATGAAGTTGTGGGAAGACCGAGAGAAGCGTCAATGCAGCGGTAGCCACATGAAGGTAGCAAACATAAAGAGTTGGCTGAAGTGTAGTGCCAACAACTGAAGAGATTGTTTCAAAGGCTTTGACTTTGCTTCAATAGAGGATGGCCACGATGAGAAAATGTTGTGGTTGGGCTTGTGAGCTCCACCCCGAGGGGTGCACCTGTTTGTGCGACTTAGAGAATATGCAGATTGAGGCCAAGATGGCCATGATTGAGGCAAGGTGCCCCCTTGAGAGTCCATAGATGTCTGGTGAGTGTCTGCCGAGCCTAAGTGCCATCCTCACCCACAACTATGGCAACACTGAATTGATTGAGGCCATGATTGAGGCGAGGTGCCCCCTTGAAAGTCCATAGTTGTCTGGTGAGTGTCTGCTGAACTTAGGTGCTAGCCTCACCCACAACTATGACAATATTGAATTGTCGTGTTTACGATGCGAGTATCGATGGCCGAGTCCAAGATGGGCAAACAACAGAAATAAGTCTGAAAGTGGGACAACCCGTAGATAGTGTGCACGAGTCTTTGTATTTGTTTGAAGCACGTTTATTTTCCAGCGAGTCGGTTAGCTAGTCGTCTGGACTCTGCTTCCACAAGAGTTGGTACCATGAAGAAGAATGTCGTGGTTGGCTTGCAAGTCGCACCGTTATGTGTCACTAAGAGTACGCAGATTGGCCAAGACAAGTGCTAGAGTTGAGTTGGGGCAAGTTCACCCAAAACTGGCCAAGAGAAGAGTCAGAGAGTGGTGCCACATGACAATAGACAAAGTCAAAATCATCGACTCGAACTAAGAGGCCTTAGTAGATGCGCATTATGACAGAAGCACGAATAGTTCCAGCAGGTCGTGTCAGCTGCAGTCCAAGAGTTCGGATCGTCACTGAGATGATGCCGAGATTAAGTGGGGGAGAATGTCACAATCCACGATGGGATTGTGCCCCGAGAAAGTCATTGAGGACAATGACTAATTTAAGTATGGGAGAATGTCACAACCATACTGTGAAGAGAGTAGGTTGTGACCCTCACGTCGAATCAAGCAAAGCGGCGACCCTTAAGAGGCGCTCGCCATGCGAGGGCCAATATAGAAGAATGCCATGATGCGACCAAGGAAGACGGTGCATCATCCAACACACCATATAACGTGTACATTGAAGAGGAAACGAAGCATAAGCAAGACAGGATAATGAGTAGACATAGTGTCACAGATTGGCTTGTTGAAGGGTCGAGTAAGGCCCAGGCCTTAACCTTGAAAGTTGGGGGTCCAGAGGAAATTTGGGCATGCGGTTCTGGAGTCAAGTCCGTTCATATGAAATATGAAAGCTCGCCAAATTTGGTGTCAATCAGACACCGGACAGACATTCTACGACATTGTACGTCCATTCACTAAAATCATTTCTACACTTGTCAATTTGGAAATGCCTCAAAATATACTATAGGGGGAGGCATGGTATCATCTCAACACCACCCCTGGGCCCTATGGCCTAAGAAAGCTTCACAGTGGCACATGCGTGTGTCACAATTAGGGCGAACGTTTTGAGACGAGTGTCCTCAGTGACTTCCTTTGAAATTGGTCTCTCAAGGACAATATCAGGTGACACAAGTGTGCCGGTATTGTGCCCCTGCTCGCTTGTCGGAGGTTGGATGTTGCTCCTGCTATCTGGTACAGTATCCGTAAATGACATGACATGGGCACCGGAGGACCAATGCCTCAATAGAACCTGGATGGATGAATATTCGGGATGTCTTGAGATTATGAACGACACATGGGCCCGTTCTCGATAGCATGACTGAGTGAGTTGTGATGGTTGACGACACCTTGTGACTTTGGATGACGTCAAGACATATGAGCGATGTTGATTGGGAACCTAGATGATGTTGGATGTGACGTTGCATTGAGAAACCTCGACCCCAAATAGAGGCAAGATCAAGTCGAATGACTACCTAGTGTAGAGGCAAAATGGTTGTGTTGCAGATGATTGAACCTGCACGCCCAGGCTGTGTGTGTGGCCAAACAAGCTTGGATTCTGCTTGAATGATGTTCGGTTGGCGAAGACAAACCTTGCCTAAGGTCCGACGATGCCGCAAAGCTAGACGAAAAATGAATATGAGTAGGATGGTCACTTAGATTTGGCTTTTGATTCCGCATGAGCGATGTTGAGTTTTCCTAAAGGCTGATCGTAAGCGTGTCAAGATCACGATGCTGCACAGTTGAAAAAGTATGACCGTGACACACGGCTCTACATGCTCCCACTATCAGATAGTAATCTATGATCCATCTATAACAAAGAATAGCAGGAATGAGTATAAAAATACTTAGTAAGCACCTACTTGTAGGCTCTCATCAAAACCTTTCGTATTTAATGCTTCTTGCGCTATGTGCTCAATCAGGGTCCTTGAGTTGGTCAATTCCATAGCTCGAGTTTAAATCTAACCCTCTCGGACTCTTAAGGTTCATTTCTAGCCCTCTCAAAATCTTAGGGCTCATACCTAACCTTATCAGGCTCGTAAGATTCATATACCCTACTTACTCCTATTTTAAGGGTGGAAGTTACCCATCGAGGTGTATTTGGGTTTCAAGGTGTACTTTGCCTCTTGCTTCCTACTTTTGAAGGTCCATCAAGTCATCCTGCGCTACACATAAGCTGGGGTGACCTTGTATGTCTCGGGCTCAAGGGTAATCTAACAGGTATGGAGGAGTCGTTGCTTGCGATAGATGACCTCTCAATCTACCTATTGCTCCATACGTGCCTACTACTAAGCGCAATAGCACCTGACAATGCTCCCCATTCCGACATCATTCTGGGCTACAACCGTGGAAAGTCGACTCCCCTCTAGGCACAGCCAGAGCTCCCTCAATAGTAAATAAGTGCTAGCCAGAATCTCCCCTAATGGCACTTGACAATGCTCCCTATTCTTACCCTATTCCAGGCTAGAATAGTGCAAGACCATCTCCTCACTAGGCACAACCAAAGCTATCTCAATAGTACCCTCTAATAGCCACTAAGTGGGTGATGTTGCATTCCTATATGCTAGGTAGAACCTCATCAGTCAAGGTGAGTTCATGATTAGGGGTTTCACCTCAACTGTTCTACGTAGACTTAGTTGACCCATGTCATCATAATGGACCCTAAAGGTGGCTCAAGAACCAAGGAAAGGTATAACATAGGCCAAGGCTCGCTAACAGGTTATCCACATCCTCTAGGGCACATAGCATCTAGTCCATACATAAATTGAGGTACACATAGGTATTCCAACCTCCGAACATGCTTTTAGGGGCATAATTGGAAGTAAATCATAATTCATGCATATCCACTCATCATACATGCATATCAAGAAGGAAGGTACTCTACAGTCCTAACGAAACATTTAATTCAATGAGAGTCAACTTTTGCATAATAGAAGTCCGAAAACATGTGCTTGAGCTAAACCATCGTTAAATCACAATTCAGGGCTTAGCTAATTCATTTCTCATGCTTAATTCATCCTTAAAACATGTTACAGTTTATATGCCCGAGGATTCCTACTAGGTTTTTTTTTTTTTTTGCTTAAAAATTCAAATGGTTACTTACATGGATGTCGACTTTCCAGATTCGATTTGGGTCTTCAAGAATTTCAAATTCTCCAGAATTCCTCTAAGTATGCCCCAAGTTAAATTAAAAGAACAAAACTCATTAAAACGTCTAAAAAACGAACTCTGGAAGGCTTAAAATTCGTTAAAAAAAAAAAGGGATATAGGTTAAGAAACTAACCATTTAGGATCATCTTCCCCAACTTATGTGTGTGCCGTTCTGCTTTTCTTCTTTTTTTTGGAAAAATTCTCTTATTTATTTCTTTAAAAATCCAGATGTTACAGTTTTCTAATAATTGTCCGTACTGAAATAATATTTTTTTTTAAAAGAAGTCCTTACTGAATTAATAAATTTGTTCTTAGTTGAGAAGCTAGTATTTTGAATCTGAATAATGTTTCTTCTTCAATGGAGAAGCGTGAACATTTATACCCTTGACTGCATATCATGAACGTTATGTTATCTTAAAATTGTGTTCTATAAAATAGTTAACTCATATTAGACAATATTATTATATTTTCAGGGTTTTACCACCAACAATGAGAAAGCTCTGGAGGAACTTTTTTGTGATGACGAGAGTTCTCAAAAAGGTGTTGCGTGCTTGAACGAGTTGGCTACCCGTGTTGGCACAGTTTTTGCATCATTGAGGGTATTTTTTTTGTGCTTAAAAGGAAAAAGGCATCCTTGATTATGTCATTATTTGTGTTAGTAGTGGTCATGGTTTTAGTGCTGGTTTTGGGGGAGGGGTGAAAAACAGATATATTTGATAAATGAAATTTACAAAGACCACTGGCTTAAGCTTGATTTACCTTCTGAGGCGGTGGATTTATTTTATGTTGCAATTACATCATACTGTTCATATCTTCACCAACTTTTTCCTTCTCCAGGAATTTCCTTTTGTTCGGTACCAAGCTGCCAGGTCCTTGGATGCAACTACAATGACGACTTTCCGTGACCTCATTCCTACAAAAGTTGCTGCTGGTGTCTATGACTGTATTATGAAATATAAGAAAACGATCCCCAATTTTCCTCAATCAGAAACGTGTGAGCTGTTGATTCTTGATCGATCTATAGATCAGGTATATAACATAATAATCTGCTACTTATAAATCACTTGTGATTCAGCTTTTTCTTTTCTCTTTTTTGTGGGTTTGGTTCACAGTGAGAATCTTTTATTTTCCCCGCTAGATTGCTCCTGTTATACATGAATGGACATATGATGCAATGTGCCGTGATTTGCTTAGTATGGAGGGGAATAAATACGTTCACGAGGTAAGTTTAGCATTCTATAAGGTCTTTATTTGATTCTGGCCTCATATTTGTTCTATTTAGGTCATCCTTGCATTAAGATATTTTACTGTTCAGGTTCCAAGCAAAGTTGGAGGTCCACCAGAGAAGAAAGAGGTTCTTTTGGAGGACCACGATCCAGTTTGGCTTGAGCTTCGCCATGCGCACATTGCAGATGTATGCCCTTGCTTGCAGCATTGTTTTTGACATTATTTTCTGTTTGCTTTTTTTTCATAAATGGTTTTTTTCAGGCGAGTGAACGGTTGCATGAGAAGATGACCAACTTTGTATCTAAGAATAAGGCTGCACAAATCCATCAAGGTTCAAGGTTAGCACTGTTGTGTTGCTTGCTTTTGGGGTGTGCTTGGTTGTGTTGGTATGAATATGAAATTAGGAATCAGGTATTCAGGTATCACTCTAATGGAAGATATTCCTAAATCCCAGAGCTAGTTTTTGTTATGAAACGTTTTTCATACTTCTACCTAAGGTTTCAGATGTCTCTCATCTATTGTTAATTCCTGGGGTCAACGTTGTGCTGGTTGCATCAAGTGTTCGCGAAGTATTTGCGAAGTTGTGTTTCTATTGGTGATGTGGGATGGTCTGCTTAAATCATCATATACTTTCGTCATTGTTTTAATAGAACTTTTTTTCTTTCCATCCATCACGCCACCGATGATTGGATGCTTAAAATCTTTTCAATTGGATTTCCATATAAGCATAATTTGTTAGGATTCTGGAGGCAGTTTTTCCTCTGTTTGTTGTTGTGAATGAGACTTCCTAATCTCTTAAGTTTGTGGGTTAGGAAGCTTTTTGGGGATGAAGAGGCGTATAATTGAAGACCTTCCAGACTCGATTATTGGTTACGGAAATCTTCCTTATTTGCTTTTTCTTTTTTCTTTTTTGATTTTTTTTGAAAAAAAAAATAGTTGTGCTTTGCCCTTTTATCAATTTTCATGCTCATCGAATGAAAAGGAGAAAAGGAATTCTTTTTGCTTATCAAATTCTGGACTCTGGTTTCTTTTATACTATCGACCAAGCATGGGGTACTTGTATGAGCTAATTTTCCTGTGGTCTGTTAGCTATTTCGTACTAAAACAAGCCTACTTTACGATGATGTCGCATTTCTGACCTATATACTTTCGGCTGTGCTATAGAAATAGTAGTGAACTCTCCACAAGGGATTTGCAAAAGATGGTTCAAGCATTGCCACAATATAGTGAACAAATTGACAAGCTCTCCCTACATGTAGAGGTTAGTTTCTTGTGGAAGAACGAAATGTTGTATGTTACTTTTCCTCTCCTTACTTTGCTGCATCAGGCAGCCTTAGAAACTGGAAAGTGTTCCAGAAAGGTGCAAAAAGAATCTTCATTTCCTCCATCTCAACAATATGTTCAACATCTCAAAGAGTAGGAAATAAATTCTGAAGATTTTGTAGGGTACTGACTTTGAGTTTATTAATTCAGATTGCAGTAAAACTAAACAAGCTTATCAAGGAACAAGGGCTTAGAGAACTAGGACAAATTGAGCAGGATCTTGTTTTTGGAGATGCAGGAACAAAAGAAGTGATAAAATTTTTGACGACCAATGAGGTGATTACTGAAACTATATCAATGTTTTTAAGTACGTCACTCGGGATACGAATATGAAACCTACATTGAACATCTTGGCAGGATGCAAGTCGTGAAAGTAAGTTACGGTTGTTGATGATTCTTGCAGCCATTTATCCCGAGAAATTTGAGGGCGAGAAAGGTCAAAATTTAATGAAGGTTAGTAGAGTTCGCCCCACTCTGAAGGAAAGGGCAACCTTTTCAACCAACTAGCTATTTAGTTAATTAAGTATTTATCATTTTACATGATTAACAAAGATATTGCCGTTGTTTATTCTTCGTACTTCACATCTTGACGACGGTTAGCGCTTGACAGTTAGCGAAACTACCACCGGACGATATGAATGCAGTTACCAACATGAGATTACTTGGTGCCGCACCTGATAGCAAAAAAAGCTCATTAGGGTCATTTTCTTTGAAGTTTGATATTCATAAGGTAAAACTGTCTATCTCTTAGCTTCTTATAGTTTATTTCTTTTATGTCTGAAAATACTTTTGTCATCAGAAGAAGCGTGCTGTTAGGAAACAACATAATGGTGATGAAGAAACATGGCAATTATCGCGGTTCTATCCCATCATAGAGGTAAGTTCATGGTCAAACTTATATGTTCAATCCATATATGCAATTATTAACAAGTTTTTTTGGGCAACTGCGAACTAATTTCCAGGAACTAGTGGAAAAACTTAGCAAAGGTGAATTATCCAAGGATGAATATCCATGTCTAAATGACCCCAGTCCAAGTTACCACGGACCGTCTCATACAGCAACAGTTCAGCCACCTCCAGCTGCTCATTCAATGAGATCAAGACGGACTCCAACGTGGGCTCGACCTCGTAATTCCGATGATGGATACTCAAGGTGCATTATTTCAAGTTTTGTTTTTTTAGTTGCCACATTATGCTTGTTCTCAAATGCTTTTCTATTTTCGTTGTTGAATCATTGTGGCGTATCGTTTGGGCAGAGACTAATATACCTGAACCTGTAACAATCTCGAGATTAGGATATTTTATTCTGGCATATTTTCTGTACGATGCATTGTTGTACGTTTAACAATCTCTCTTCGGACAGTGATTCAATATTGAGGCATACATCTAGTGATTTCAAGAAGATGGGACAGCGTATCTTTGTGTTTATTGTAGGTGGAGCAACTAGGTCCGAGGTAAATTTTGTTCTTGTGTAATTTGAACTCATGCTTCTCTTTAGTTACTTGTCTGGATGCATTAATTATGTCTTTTTATCCTACAGCTTCGAGTTTGTCACAAGCTTACAGCAAAGTTGAAGAGAGAAGTAGTTTTAGGTTCAACAAGTATTGATGATCCTCCACAATTTATTACGGTATTTAGCTTCAACTAGATTTGCAGTTGTTTTCTGCCATTCATGTGACACCCATCATTTCTCATTAAATATTGTCTTTAATTGGTCCAGAAGCTTAAGATGTTGACTGCACATGAGCTCTCATTGGATGATCTCCAGATATAATTAGCAGCAGCCTCTAGTGTGCTCTTCAGCGCTATGCAACCCGTTTGTTGGTCGATTTCTTTTTTGTGGCTATTTCAGCTTAGTCTTGTTGCTAGTTTGTCATGATCTTGTGATGAACTGTTGGCAGTAAAAGTTGTGCATAGTGCATAATGTAACATGTTTTACATTCACATATTGTAACATTTCTTAATGGAAAAGATAAGATTGAAACTGTACCTTACCAATTATACACATCCACTGAGACCCCTCGGTCGAGACCGCTCGTAGTGTATTATCTCTCATGAAACTTAGGCTTCTCAGCGCTCTGAAATTCAATACTGAATTCAGAGGTAGTTGTTAACCATTAACTAACAGATTTCCTTGGGCTTTCTATCCTGCACAGCCTCTGGTTTTCTCGTCTTGATTTCATGTATTGTTTCTTCCCAAATCCTCAGTCACTCTTTCCAACCCCAAAACATATAGAATTGCAAATGTGAAGTGTATGAAATCAAGTATTGATTTCTCGCAAGCAAGCCGAAAAGATAAGTCACTGAGAAACAAACTTTTCGTGACAGCAATATATCATTTCATGAGGACTCGTCTGGATTACTCAAGGAGAACAAAAAAAAATTTGCAAGAAAAATAATCGCAGCAACTTAATACCACAAGGAACAATTGAAAGTTGAAATACAAACCTATAGCACAATCATTTTTTAAATGAGGGGAAGGGGTTATATTCTCAACCAATTTCCATTAAAATAAACGAGTGCTATAAAAAAACAAAAAACAAGTAAATTTCCAATGATAAACACGTTAAAAATTGAAAATTCTACAAACCATATAATATAGTATCCCATGCCCAAGGCTATGGCTACCTTAAGAAATATTTTAATCTAATGTTTTTAGTCACAAATGAATGACACATTACCTTCAACCTCGGGAAGTTTTAAAATCCCAATGTTCTTAATAAATGGACAGCCCTTATTGGGAATCATATTATTAAACTCGAGCAAACGGAAAAAGAAAATTCTTCTTGCATTAACCTCGGGCAAGGTTTCAATGAGAGATCGAAAGATGGAAGTAAAACTAGAATCATGGAAAGGAATAGCAGCTCAACCTCAGAATCCCTCCAAAGCAGCAAAGAGGTTAGAATTGACGTAATTGTTATCCACCAAGCTCACCAAGTAATAGCTGCTCTGTATCTGAAATAAATAGTAAAGTGCTTTGTCATCGAGATAGTAATCTTCCACAAAACTTCTCAACTTCCATCACTATATTAAGATTAACCTTTTATAGATAAAACAGCATTTCCTGATTAAGCCTTTCGATGACAACATAAATTTCGATTCAACGCATTTCCATCACTTAATAATCCACACTTCTCTACTAAGGGGTAATATCAGGTGAAGAAAGAACGGGGAAATTAATTGAGCACTGAAAAGATATAACAAGTGTACCAACCTCTTCGAGAAATTTTCGGGACGGGTCGCCCTCGGGGTACAAGGAAGCCCATCCCCTCGACCAAATCTCAAATGCCTCATCTTTCCAAACTAGAAAGCTGGCAGGATCGACGACAGTTGGCTGGACGATCTCTTTGGCCGGGAAAACTCCCCATGTTACAGCATTCACATCATTTTGAGTGATGTTGGATACCCAAATGCCTTCCTTATTCACTGCCATGTAGGTTAGAGATGGAAGGCCCCTGCATTTGTCAACAACAGCATCCAAGTTTTCCCTGGAACAGAAAAACTCGATGTATGCCTTTTGATAAACGTAACCTCCTGATCCACCCCATCCTGCAAATCATTATTAATCATCCCAACACTGATCAGATGACTAAACAAGCATTCTGCCGCCATTGCCACAAATATCATAAGTCAAAACTGAATTGATCACTACAAAACTAAACAAATAAACAAAAGATGCACAGGGGAAGAAACCCCCCCTCTCTAGACAGGCGACTCAGATCCCTTGCATACAAATGATTGTTTTGTTAGGGTGTTTTCTATTTATGGTTAAAATTTACACTTCTATCAAGATATCATGCTTAGTTGTTCAATTAGAGGAACAACGTGTTCCACTACATATTAATTTCCAACTGGTTCCAAAGTGGGTAAAGGCCAAAGAATTCAATTTTAGTAGGATACTGTCAACACGCTTTTCATCTCTTCAAATAACCGTTAGTAGTATTTGAGAGATAGGCCCAACAATGGTTTCTGATTTTCAAGAGGAATATGAATGGAAACTGCAGTGGGCTCCATTCCCTTGGGCATACTAAATTCTCCCTCAATCCCTGATACTAAATTATGTTTAATGAAAATCTATGGGAAGGTTCCAAGAAATTCTATATTAGATCACTCGATGCATGTTGATAGCATGATTTCTTCGTATTTAACTTGCTTTGGTTTTAAAGCAAGTCCCCAGTAAAGACAAAAAAAAAAAAAAAAAAAAAAAAAAAAAAGGATGTTCAAGGATTAAAACGGAATAATTGAAAGTTGAGAACTAAAACACTTATTTAAAAGTTCAGGGACCTGTGAAACAAACATGAAATTACAAGGAACAAAATAGAATTTAAACCATTCATTATTCTTCATACATTAACTTGTGAATTTACTAGCCAGTCAAAGGGTCCTATGAATTAGTATATTAATAATTAATAATCAAACATTATTTATAAAATAATGTAATAAACTAAAATTTATCAATTGGTGAGCCAATAATATATTGTTTTTATTTATTTAGTTTTTTTAGCCAAATATGAATTTGCTACATGAGAAAAAATTATCTAGTTCAGTTTTAGTATTTCAGTACTTTTCCTTTGACTTCAACAGTTATAGGGTGAACAATGATGAAATCGTCCACCCTTGAAATGGTAAGAAGAGAGCATTATCCACTAACCTCTGAGATTGTATTGCAGTACTTTCAAATACTTACTCAGTTATGCTGTCAAAAAAGTTAATTGTATGAATGGATTAATTTGTACTTACCAACAGAAGGAGAATCAGATTTTTCTCCATTAACCGCTGGTTGGCTGTTGATTGAAAGGAAACCTTTCATGTTAATTTTACCAAGCTGTTCGCTTATTATTCTTGTCTCAGCCTGAAGACCGTCTAATTCAGACCACGGACTGCTTCTCAACTTTCCAAGGCAGTACTTCATAAATTTCTGATAGGAAACAATATAACATATCTAGTCAATCGCTAACATTATAACAAACTTTCTTCACACCTTGGTTAGGAAAAGTACCTCATAAACATCCTCTATGCTTTTCAATGGGAGAGCCCATTCCTCAAGAAGCTTCTTGTCACGTGCACGTGGCCGCATAAACTTAAGTGCAAAACAAAGCAAAAGTAACACTGATTAAACACACTAGAAACTATGCTAAACGTGTTATAACAATATTCAAATAAATATTGAATGAAGTAAAGTTTGAATCTTCAGCTCTTTGAAGCGTTTGAGAAACATGAAAAAGAAATCATATCACCAGCTTGCCTATAATAACTGAAGAAACAAACAAATTATCTGGGGGAAATTTTACCAGAAGCTTTCAACAGGATTTGAGACCGAATTTCTTTAAAATTAACATCTTGTCCTACAATAAGCTTCATTCGACTCAACAGAATTATATTTTGATAATGTTGTGGTGTCAGATGAATCAGACCAAGCCAAAGTAAATGATACATCATGCGGGAGAAATTTCTCAAAGCCTACTTTTAAGTCTTGAATTCATGCAGATCACAAAGAGTTAACAATTACAAGCAATGGTGATTAAAGAGGGAACGGAAGACTAAGTTTTCAGGCAGTCCACAAGAAATAATTCCAGATGTTAAAAGGAAATCTCCTCCGTACAGCTCTCTCTGTCTCTCTATCTCTCTAGAGTGTGTGTATATAACAAATATCAACATAGATCATTTACAAGTTCTAGTTTATTGTTCATACCTGATAGTCAGTTAGTGCCCCATATGAAGGATTACTAGAATCACTCCATCTACCATGAGGATACTGGTCCCAACCTATGGTCCTTGATATGTAGCTTCTAGGACGATTAGCCCTGTGATCAACAACTACCTAGATCAGCTCTATCTCAAATTTAGCAAAATGTAAAACAATTTTATGCATCCAAAATCATTAGGAATGCATCCTCATTTTGCAATAAGCATAAGAGATACCAGAAGATTGGGCGAACATCTTCCCTGATACGGAAAACATTTGTAGGACGCCTCCAAGGTAATGATCTTGAGACTTTGCTCTCTTCAATCAGACCAAGATTCTGCCATGAGTAGAGAAATGCACTTAAACTTAACCCCAAAAAAAACAGATTAAACTACAAGCCTCCAAAAAAGATAAAAAAAAAAAAAAAAAGATAAAAAATGATGTACGAAAAAAGTAAAAGAAGAACAAAATTTAAGTGCCATTATAATAGAAAAAGAAGCCTACGGCATCCAATCAACAAAAAAACTATCTCATGTTATAGTATTATTTACCCTATGTTTAAAAATATATGTATGTGTGCGTATCATGTTCCTTTGAGTATAAGATAAGTGTATCAGCATAGAACATACTTTTAATAGACTTATCATCTATTTACAATCAGAAGTTTTCATATGGAAATTACTTTATGGCTCCTTACAAGTTTACTTCTAAAGGAAGATGCCGAGTCTCAGTTAGTTCAAACAAAACATGAACCCAAGAGTACGAATGGAAAGGAAGCCAAAATCCATAAGAGGAAACCCCTCACCGACACACCAGAATATAAGAATACATCAACAAAAGCTTCAGAAATTCCCCTGGTACCAGAGCATCCAATGACAAAATTACCCATAGAAACAATAATTGGAAGTAAAAATAGAATGCGTTTAGGATACTGGAATATACCATTAGTATAGCCAATGCCGATTTCTCCATATTCAGTGTATACATGTGAAGAGTCTTGATTCCATGAGCCAAAATCTTCTTGCACATTTCAGTTCCAAGGTGAATTCCATAAGCTTTGACAGCTTCTTCGTTATCCTTGATTGGCTCTAAGGCAGCCATGACCTCATCCGGAATCTGCAATTTTTCGAAAGTCATACATACAGGTAAAAGAGAAACAATTTAACATTACAGATAATATTAATATTTCTTTGGAGAAGAAAAGGCAAAATTTTGATGATCGCTGGTTGTAAATTTTTCTAGAGTGGACGCATTTAATTTAAATCAAGGCCATTAATAAAAAGATTAGAGAGAGGTTAGTACCTTCGTTTTGCAAAAGCTGGTCATGCGTAAGAAACCTTTGTAATTATTGATGGGCATAATACCAGGTACAATCGGACAAGTAATTCCAATTTGACGACAATCGTTAACAAACTTGAGGAAAATGTCAGTGTCATAGAAGAGTTGGGTAACAATCAGATCAGCCCCGGCATCAAACTGAAAAGAACCAAAGACAATATAGTAAATAACAGCAATCGAGAAAAAAAAAAGAAAAGAACAGACAAAATAGCATATAAAAAGTAATCCATGTAAGAACAGGGGAAGAGGAATTAAATTGCTTAAAGATCAGATTCACCTTTTTCTTAAGATAAGCCAGATCGCTCTGGTAGCCTTCAGCCGTCGCCACGCCATTGCTTCCAATCACGTCCGGATGTGCCTCTGAGAAGAACAGAATAGAATTAAGTATTAGCACTCCGTTAGTTACAGAAAAGAAAAGGCATTTGCAAGTAGATCTGTAAATTTCGATCAAAACAAAAAAAAAAAAAAAAGAAACCTGGATATCCAGCTACAGTAATGCCGAAGTAGTCACCATACTTCTCCCTGATGTGTTTAACCTACGAATAAGAAATGTAAACATTTAGAGAGCAGAAACACAGAACAGAGGAAACGAAGATGGACGAAGCCATTGTAGAGTACAAGATCGAGAGCACAAGCGAAGCCGCCTTCGATCTGGACGAATTTATCCTGTCCATGAGGAGGGTCGCCACGAAGCGCGAGGACATTCTGAAGGCCATTAGACTTGATAGTCTGAAGAGCATGGTCGATCTTCTCAACAGGCATATTGGTGCAGGTAAGATGCATCATGGTCTCGACACAGATCATGTTCTGCATCTTGTTAGCAATGTCGAGGGTGAGATCGGCGGTGGAGCCACCGGCGCCCCAAGTAATGTCACAGAAGGAAGGATTATGAGCCACCATCCGGTCCATCCTGTCGAAGAGGTTATCAACACCGTCCTCCGTCTTGGGCGGGAAGTACTCAAAGGAGAACACAACTCTGCCGCCATCACCGGCGGTGGCTGCCGTGATCTTGTCAATCACCTTCATCTTCTCTTCCCTGTAGTGGCGTAGAAGCTACAGATCGGAAGCAGCAAGGGTGGGTGCGTGTGTGTTGGTGAGGAAATCAGCAATGTGAATGATATGGGGAGAATTGAAATTGAAGAGTGAGGAAGAGAGAGAAAAGAGGAGGCGAGGAGAAGATTGAGAGATTGAGAGATTGAGAGATCAGTGAAACAGAGAATGAGAAGGAAGATAGGAAATCACCTCAATCACCTCTTGCAACTGTCGGTGAACATCTTTTAAACCTCATCCATCTCTCATTTCTATTTTTTTTTTCAGACTCATCATTTTTTAATTAATTTTTATCAAATTACAGGAAAATAATAATAATATTTAAAATTTTGAAAGGTAAGGAAACTTTTTTATTTTTTGAAAAATGAGTCTAAACTTTGTTGTACATTTCAATAATTAATGTAACAAAACATAATTAAATGTCTCGTTCATAAACTATTTATGGTATTTCGAGTTTCATATGGGAAATATCAAAATGGGGTCATAGTTCATTTTCTCGTTCTTGCCTCTTTGCCAATAAATCGGAATTACTGTGGAAAATAGCAGGCACTATGAGGAAAATAGCAGGCACTATGAGATTAGATTGACTCATACGTAGAATGGTGGATTAAGTTTAAGGAATTTCGCTTTCGTTTTTTTTTTAATTATTAAAAAAAAAAAGAAAGTGGGAGAGAGGTAGGTGAGATGGTGAATGGTAGGAGAGAGAAGACGTGAATGGGAAGGGAGATTGGAATTGGTGGTTGTGGAGACAGATCTGAGATTGGAGACTTTTTTGACACCAAACCATCTACAATTTTGAGTGAGCCATGGAGCCTAAAAGCTTTTATTTTATTTCATTAATACTCTTAATGTAAAAATAATAATAATATATATATATATATATATATATATATATATATATATAGATGCCATATGAATAGAAGAAGAGAAGGGTAGTAAATGTGTTATGAATGGATTAATAAGCAATGCCACTGAGTGACATTAACAGGCAGAGGGAGAGATACAATCAATACACTTTACAACAGTTGGTATGATGAGGAATAGAAGACGTTCAAAAATAATTCCCACGCTGATCCCGAAACTATACTAACCTAACGAAGTCGATTTGGGCGAGTCCTTATTCTTTTTTCTAATGTAAAAGAACAGTATTACATATCATACAACATTCTCACCAACAATACAATATCACAATCATCATCTTTTTTTTACCCTTTTCCTTTCTACTTTGTTCAGATTTCGGGTTTCAATTAAGAGTCCAGCATCATCACAAGAAGTTTTGCTTACTACAATAGCCTGAGAGAGGAACCCTTCTGCCCTTCCTTGCTTAGTTTCCCAAAAGGTAAGTAAGTGAATGTGTATGAATGTGTATTCATGTTGCTGATTCTCACGTTAATGCTGCACTCTGCATACCCTCTACAACTCTTATCACAGCCTTGCGAATTCCCAATCCTCTTTTGACATGTCAAGAAATTCTACATTGCCGTCTTCAAACATGATCTGCAACAATATCAAACAGACTACTATTGAACAGTTCTATGATATACAAGATCTAGAAAATGAGGTTTTAAACAACTTAACTTACGGAGTGTTTTCTGGAATATTGATCAAATCTCTTTATAATACCAAAAGACCTGAAACATTTTTGAGGAAGTGTTAAACATCGAATATAATCTAATAATAAATTATGAATTGTATCCTGTGCTAGAACAACAGATGCGATGCTACAACAGGGATTGGTACATACGGAATATTTTTTTAAAACAAATTAATGAGAAATGATCATTTCATTGATAAAGTGAAATTTCAATAAGAGAGGAAGAAATCCAAAACCCCCATGCCAAGAAAGTTTTAAGATGGTTTCCCAGTTGGCACAAAAAACGTAATCTGTATGAATTCAAGGGACCACAAAATTTACACCACAAGTGACTAATAAGAAGGTGATTCAAGCATCCAACGCTAGAAGCCTGTTATTGAAGACCCTGTCATTACTTTTCAAGTGTTGCCTTCCACATAACCTCCTTTTTCGATCTCTTGGGTTTTCGAAGACCTTTGTTTGATAGAGAGGAGGCTTTGGATGTAGTCGGTCTTTTTTTCTATTCTTCGAGACGAACACGTGATTCCAAGGAGAAGTAATGTAAGAATTTGGTCCCTAACCTTCCTAGGGGCTTTTGTTGTCAATCATTCTTTCACATTTAGTCTTCCCTTTGTCCCTCTCCAGCTGCCCCCGTTACCTCTTCGTTTGTTCTCTCTAGAAGGTTAAACTTCCAAAGAAGGTCATATTACGAGGCACATTTTATATGGGAAAGTTAACACCACAAATCACGTTAAAAAAACACTCTTCCTTTGTTTTGTTCCCACAAGGGTGCTTCTCAACGGGAGACACGAGGTGGATCTAGATTATCTGGTTTAGGATTGACAAATTGCTCACTACCTTCGGAACCATGGGATGAGATCATTTGGTGTTTGTTGGGTTTGGCATAGAGACAATATGGCACAGGTGGAGGAGGTGCTTTTGAATTCACCCTTTCGAGAGACGATATGGCACGGGATGAGATCATTTGTGGCAGACTAGTTTCTTCGCAATTTTGTGGGATATATGGAGTGAAAAAAACAATAGAATTTTTAGGGAGGTCAAGAGATCAAGTGAAAAGTTTGGGAGGTGAAAATATTTTAATGCCTCTTTATGGTCGTCAGTTACAAGTTTATTTATTTATTTATTTATTTGGAATAGGGAGCTTAGTTTTGCTCTTTTGGATTAGAGTAATGTTTTGCAGTTAGCGTCGAACTCCTTTTGTTGACTCGTAAATTCTTTCCTTCCTCTCAATGAAGTCACCATATTTTGAATGTAACACCTCAAGCCCCAAGATTCTTTTAATGATTTCTTAACCATACTTTCATATCCTCAGAATTCCTCTTCTCATTTAGATATGGTCTTGGTTCGTATACCTCCTCTACTCGGGCGTCACATGCCTTCCAGCTTCCACCTTCATCCATCTCCAAACCACGTTCTAGTAGGAGAGGCTCTGTTATGTGGCCATTTATAGTGCCCCAAGCCCAAAATTCAAAATCCGAATTAGGCACTTGTCAGCCCAAACATACCCATGCATCTCATGCAACCTCACGATATTACCTATTTGTCTTGAACTGCTTTTGAGAATGTCCCCATAGATTAACACGAGTCTATTCAATATGTTTTGTCCTCTCTCACATGCTTCTTAGGAAAACTTCCCAAAAGTCAACAAGCATAGGATTACTCCAAGCCAATCACACTTAGTTTTTGAGTTTTTATGATTGAGCCATCAAAAAAAGAAAGATACACTTTGTTGGTATATATAGTAGCCATTAATCCTTTCAACCTTTCTTAACCATATTTTGAGAATCTGTCTCATCACGTGGTATGGAATTATGTACCCCTCCTCTACTCGGCTGTCACTGTTAGTCCCCAAATAACATCCTACTAGGAGAGGTTCTGCTTTGGTACCATCTTTCCAAACCCAGGATTCAACCCCAAACTCAAATCCAGATTCAGTATTTCCCTACATCTCGAACAACCTAGCAATACCGGCTTGTCTTGAACTATTTTTTAGAGTGAAAATTGCCCCCACAAACTAATGTAGTTATTTTCACAATATTTGTCCTTACTCATGTGCTTCATAGAAAAATTCCTTAAAGGTCGATCACCCGTGATGACATAAGACTCCTCCAAGCCAAGCATTTGTAATACTCCAGACATGTGATTCAAACCAAGCTTCGAACTTCGGCTTCTGAATCCTAGTCTGAATCTAGAGCCTGAGGGGTTACAATTGTTTGAGTGTCTAAAGTTCTGGGTTTTGTAGACTTAATTGCATAGTAAGCCTTAGGTGTCTTCATGGCCAATCAGCAATCATCGAGTCAATACTAGATATGCATTTGTATTTGTTTATTTTTGTTGAAGAAGGAAGCTATGATGGCAAAGCAGCTGAAGATTTCTTTTGAAACTAAAGACGTTTGGCACTTGCTAGTAAACTTGTGGTTGAAGGTTTTGGATGGAACATAAATGAGAACCAAAACAACCATTGATGTATCGGAGATGGAAGAGGAACGTCGTTTGGGAATGAAAAATGGTAGGGCAATAGATATGAAGAGTTAGTCTCAAAAGTTGGGTGTGAAGAATTTGATAGAAGAGGTGACGTCTAGCTGGATAATAGTGTTGAGCAGAATATATTAGAACAAGAAATCCTAGATCTGGGTACATTGTCGAATTGGAGATGTTGGCAGATGTGAAGCCAACGAATAATGAAGATAAAGGACCGCAGACATAGAAACCTGCAGGATTTATTCCAAAAAAATCATTGTTCCTCAGTTTAACATGGGAAGTAGCCATAGGAAAATTTGAGGAAGATGTTTTGAAAAGCAAAGCTGCCAAAAAAGGTGAAATGCTTTTGTGAGTTTGTTTCGAAGTATTGAGTATGGAAGAAAAATTGCAGAAGAGTCCAAAATTGGCTCTCCTTCCAAATTCATGTGCCTTGGTACAGTAAAAAGGGATATCAGCGGCATTTATTTTCTCACTGTCAAATAGCAGAAAGATAACCGGAAGATAATCTAAGACTCATAAATGTTCAATGTCCGTTGCATAATTCAGCTGAGAAGAAAGTATAGCATATTTTGTGTGTAAATGGTTTCAGAAGATAGATAAACTGAGAAAGACAGTTTCGTCCATTCTAATAAATCAGAATTCAGAGATGTTCTGCCGATCAGAGAGAATATAAAGTTTTCAAAAAAAAAGTTGAGTTGGGAGGACGTGACAAAGAAGTCTAGGTTCAATGTAGGTAATTGGTGCTCTTTAGAAAAGCAATTATGTGATTAACAATTAAAACTAGTTCTGAGCGTATTTTATGTAAGCTCCAATGGGTGATAAAGCTTTTTGTATACTTTTTAACTAGATTAATAAGTTGTCTGAGTCTCCGTTTCAGAAAAATAATTAGTACATAAACCAGTAAAATAATGCATGCATGTATGCCGTCCTCACATTATTAACTCAATAAATAGCCACCTCCAACTTTAGTTCACTAAGAAACACAAACGCAAATCAACAAAAATAATTGGGAGCAATCACAAATATGATAAAAGAGCTAACGTACCTTCCACTGATGGGGCGAGCAATCCAAATGACCTCACCAATGCAATTATAGGCGTGCACCACTTGCTGGTTGCGTGCCTGCTTTGAACTTCCTGAATAAGAAGTCAAATAGAAAACTTTTCTAATTACTTCATTGGCTTACAGAAGAAAGCTGTGGCACCAATCAGCACTAGATCCTACTAAAGTGGTCAGATAATACTGGACTTACCTACATGCAAAGTTCCATTTCTGATAACCTGCCCACAAAATAAACTCAATTAGTTTCATCCCGTACAGTTACAGGAAATACATTGTGCAATTAAAAGAAAAAAATTGTAAGTGTATATATATATATATATATATGTATCTAAGCAAAAACAGTGTAGCAGTCTTGAAATTAGCGAGGTAAGAATCCATTACTAAGAGAAGAAGGTGATAGAAGGAACTTAGGATGAGAAAGTTTGGAAAAAGAGGTCCAACAATATTCTGTTCAAGTTTGTCTTTATTTCACTTTATAGTTTATTTTGATATGTTGCACTTAAGAAAGAAGCAGACACTCACCAAGGCAAGGCAATTGATTGACTTGGCTTCAGCGCATGCTGTTTAAAACTTAGCTAAAACAATGGTGGGACTCACATATTAAGTAAAAAGAACCTAACTCTTCGTCAATATTAAGTACTGTGTCCTCAAGCCCACACCCACTCCCTAAATCCGAAGGTTGTGACCATGCTTGACTTTTGGGGTCATAAGCAGAACACCCTACATGGTATACCCCAATTTCTAAAAGCCACCTGCAAGGCTGCACCAGTTCTTTAAGACGTGACTATCATCCTATGAAATTTTTGCTGTTTTTTACACTGATAAAGTTTTCTTTACAATATAATTCTACAGTTTTCTTTCTATAACGACTATTTCTTGTATTAAAAAATTCATATCAGAAATTTTTTTTGATGCAGTAACTTCAAAAAAGAAATACTTGAGCCTTAATTTTTAACGTATATCATACACAGACTTCTAGTACTTGTTTGAAATGTTGAAATGCATCCCATGTATTTATAACGAAATTCCAAAAAGCTTTTACATGCATCCCATGTATTCTTTTGAGGAATGACTGTCACCGCATGTTAATCTTTACATGGAACGTCTTACCAAAAAAAAATCTTTATATAAGGACCCTCAACTATTTAAACATACGTGAATGATAATAGTAATCACATACAAAAGCAACATATACAAAAAATATGTGCAAAAGAGGTAACATAGAGCATCACAACCTCAGCAAACTAGTACAGCTGTACTTACATCTCTTCCAGACAAGATTGCTTTCAGCTTAGGTGAAGATACAGCCACCTGGCAAGCTACAAGTTTCAACGCAGCATCCGATGATATCTTTGGCTTCGTAGGTCTTACACCCAGCTTTCTTCTGCAGCCAACAGCACCACAATGACAATCTTGATCGGCACCAAACTGAACAAACCTGCTAAATTTATTAGCCAGGGACAAGCAGTACAGGAAATAAAACAGTAGATAATAGAGTAGATGCCACAATATTTCCATTATAGTAATCATATAAAACAAACATGGGATTAAAAGATTCATCATTTTCATAAAAGAATGCACGAAAAGTACTTTACATATAGCATAGGTCAAGAGTTTAGCAAGCAACCATACTGATAATCATAAGTTAGATGCTCGCCCTTCTGTATGTCTTGAGTTGCAAATATGCCAATTCTCGTCTCTCCGTCTATAATCCTTTAAAAGAACAATTCATATACAGCAATTACTCCAAAATAATCTCATATCAAGTAATAAAACACAGACACCATTTACACATGCGAACCTGCTCAGACGTGAAAAAAGAGTGTTTATTTCAATATTTGTAAGTTTTTCAACATGCTGGTAACAAGTTAAGGACATGTTTAGGACATATTTGTACAAATACAACAAAAACAAATTATAGACCCTTCACTCAATTAAAAATTCCACTATCCAATGGAAAATGAAGATAATAGAAAAGCCCGCCTGAAATATAAACAGATTAGCTCTCTCATTAGTCATTAAGAATTGTATTCCCCTTTGATGTTAAAATTTAGAAACAAATTTATTCTTCAGTATTCAATAATGTATGTAAAAAACATAAAAACAAAAAACCTTATGTGTCCCACCCAACATGTCATGTCCCCTAAACAAGTTGGCACATTGGTTACCTACATGTCATGTCGCATCAATATCAAATGTCCATGACGTGCCATATGTTTGCCACAATCCATGCTCTTTAAATTTCAAAAATATAACACCATTAAATTGGAAAGTTGAAGGATCGGGGCAATACCATTTTTGCATCTCCGTATTGGGACAACAACTATGATTTATATATCTCGACTTATTTCCCTTGTATGTGGCATCAATTACCATATCCCGATTGATCTCGCATAGATAGAAGTTTGTCTCTCCACGATGCTTCATGTTCCATAGCCTTTCTTCACATGTTTTGTCATCAATTACTGCATGATTAATAAGTGCACCCATTATGTCTTAAAAGTAGTGCATCACATTACATTATGCAAAAAATCATAAAATTCAAAAATTAAATAAAGAGAAACATTACCTTCGCCTACATATTCTATTACAAACTCTCCATGTTTGATATCTTCATCAGCTACAATCCCAGAACCGCATTTCTCAGTCTACAAGGTATAGCTTAATTTAACTGGCCATTTCAACTTAACATAAATCATGAAATAATTCCCTGTGCATTTATCTTATGAAATAATACCCTGCAAGGTTAAAACAAGACCAGGAAAAAAAAATGCAGTGTTTTCACACCTCACTAATTACATTCTGATGTAGAGAACAATTACTGAATACCGATGGTAAAAAAAATGTCAGATACTCATCTAGTTGAAGTCACCTATTGTGTTTAGTTGAGATGCATATCGATTTTTATAACTGGAATTCAACAGGTCAAAATATAACAAGCTACTCTAGATATATCCAGCCTTAAATCCACGATCAACAAGTAAAATCTTCTCTCCGACTTCATAAATTTTCTTTTCTTTGGGACTGCCTAATAGGCATTGTTAGGTTTATGCTGTTAATAAATCTAGGTGTTTATAGCTTGGAGTTGGGTAGCTTCGTTTTGTCTAACCAAATTAACTTGTTAAATGGTACAGACAAATGACTTGCTGATGCCTTTTTATGTATATGAAACGTGACTTGTATTGTATACAAAGCAATACAAAACGACAATGAGATATCCACACCAAGGAGAGATTTTCAATTGGCAAAACAAGTGCTATAAGTTAAGATTAAAAGATGCTTTGGGCATCAAACAGCAACTTAGATAGTTAATTCGAAACCAAACACCCCATTTACAAATAAAACTAAATACATCCTATAAAAAAATAAAAATTAAAAAAAAAAACCTTCTTTTTTCAAGAGAAGAAAAAAGATGCTACGAGCTGTAGTTTATCAAATTCCCTGTAATAGTACCTCGACCAGTTTCATTTTCTTCACAGGCCGGTGCTGAAATGGTTTGTTGAGACATGAAATCCCACACTTGCAGCCTGAAGAACAGCTAGACAACAGCATCCTACAGATACAGGACAAACAAATGTAGGAACAGGGTTCAAGCCCTTACATAGAAATCAACAAGCTTGGCCACAAAGAATATAAATGTGTAGACCACTTATTTACAAAGGGCATTGAAACTTACAGACGTAAGGTGCATTCCGTATATTTATTTTGCTTTCAATTTAGTTCGTAACACTTTGAAAGTTACAATAGTAATGGAGATTGCTAGCTGAAAGTCTCATTTGTCACCAATTAAAAAGTTGAAGGTAAAATTGAAACTATTAGAACATTAAGAACAAAATCAAAACCAGGTACATTGACAGGGGCAAAGTTCTAAAGCTTGAATTGCATCATTTTAAAAAGGAGAATGAATTGTTATTCCACTGCAACAAAAATCTCAAGGTGCTGGAAAGTTTTGGCAAGATTCAGTTAGAACTCAAAAGAGATTTAAATGATGAAATGAATATGGCAGGATCTTGGAACTATTAGAATGAAGATTACTCTCAAGGAGGAATGATAGAAGGAGCTGGAAGTTCGAATAAAGTTGAACGTATTTTTTCAATTTTGAATACAGCTGACAATATTCAAAGAAAATGTCCAGATTGGTCCTTAAATCCTAGCTCCAGTCCACTTCGTCTTAAGGCTGGAGAGAACCTTCATCATACCTATTTCCATTGTTACATAACAGCACGCAATTGTGGGACGCTTCCTCTCAGATTCTGATAATTCTCGGGTTAGCTATTTTAAGGGAAAAAATTATCTTCTTTCTTTGTGGCCACAATTTTAAAGGAAAAGCATGCAAGAGTATTATGGGCCAATACTGTTAAAATCTTCGATAAAGGGAATTTGGCTTGAAAGAAAAAAGCTGCCTTTCAAAAACAAAAGTATCCCCTGCAACGAATGCTCTGTTCCAATGAGGGTATTCATGTTGTGCTCAATCCAAAGGTTTTCAAAGTTCGTCATTTTTAAAATTATTTCGCGTTGGATTATTTCCTTCTATCTTTCCAATTTGTGGTTTCATTAGTTCTGGTTTGGAGACTTTGTTGATATGTTTCTTACGTAATTTCTGGTTTATAACTTTTCAAATACTGCTGATTTTTTTTCTTTTTTTTTTGGTGATCATATTAACCTACAAAACAATACACTCCATATTACAATGTTGACAGGGCGGTAACTTAGAAGCTAAAATTTCCGAAGTTACGGATGGAGAAAATGCAAAGACAAAAGAACATATAGAATTCCATCAGCCATGGTACTTAGGCAACTTAACGGCAAATTGCTTACCCACAATGGCAATCTCTATCACAGACACCTGGAGATCCTGATGTAGGGCTACAGGAACAAAATATCCCATCATCCTCAATCCGTCTTTTAAATTTCTTTGTGAGGTAGACATCTTAAAATTTGTTAACATCAACAAACAGAAAATAATGGAGAAAGAAAGAGAATAAAAATCAGAGGTAAACAGTAAATATAACACGCTTTACTGGATTCCAGACAAATAAAATGCAATACATGCTTTCAGCCCATACAGTTATAGTGAAGTGGTTAATCACATATTTGTTAATCTCTCTATACTCTGCCTTTAAGTGAAAAATCAATAACAATGAAAGATGTGAGGCCTAACAAAAGAGAAGTTCCCTCCTCCATGGGATACACTTTACTGTTTTCCAAAGTAAGAAAATTTCATTAATGAAAGGTACACACTTCATAAAAGAAAATGTCCACGGTATGCAAATTTCATTAATGAAAAGTACGAACTTCAAAAAGAAAGAAAAAAAATGTATACAGTTCAAAGGATAGTAAAGAACAAAACTAGCAAAGGATACTACGCCTAATGAAGGTATACGGCAAAGGCTTCCATTTACTAAACCAATCAGGAAGTTCAAAGTCAACTGGATTTCCAATCTGCCTCATCAACTTGTGGAAAACATTCCCAATCCGACTGCATTCAGAATTCTAATCAATTGGGAAACGGCATGAGTGAGAGCTTGACTTACTTTTTATGCAATAAAATAACCAAATAATGAAAATAAATCGCAAATCTATAAAACCTTACAGGCTAACTTAACAAAGAAATATCCAAAACAATATGACCAGATTCAAGAAAAGAAAAACAAATAAAAACTAGATTCAAATTTTTTATTCTGCGAGTACTTTTATTTATACTGTTGTTTTTTCTACAACCGCATAGCCTCCTTGAACACTCGTTTAGTATTTTTATCACAACTACTAAACATTCATGCTTCTGAGATGTAAAGGCCAAAGAAATACATGAACCTCAGAATACAACCCGCTTTAATCAAATTAGATGAGAATCTTAAGGTCTCAATTTTAAAGGACTATTCAATGTATTTTTAATGAGATGTGGACAGAATCTAATAAAAATGAAATGAAATATGGAAGGAAGCCCACAAGATTGAAGAACCAAATTGTAACAATCACACAAGAAAAATCAATGTAGTATAGACATATAGGACCAATTCCATATAGAACAACCTCATCCACTTCTTGATGCATAGAATTCCTTCAAAAACCAAATTTTCCCAATTAAACTAAAATTAATAAATCACTACAGACACCAGTAGCTAAGGCATAGAGGGTCATAAGCCCATGATCATATATACAGGAAGTGCGTAGTCTACTATACGTGGACATCAAGCTAAACCAAGAATAGAAGATCCAGAAGTACTACAGATATTAAAGTCTTAAGCGATCATCTTCTATTCTATATGACACAAATAAGAATGGAACAAGATACACAGCACATAGACAAAGAACAACGAACAAAAATCAATAAAACTACGGACTTCTTATTATAAATAAATAAATAAGGAAAATAGAACTCTGGACTAACCTTTTTTATAGCAGGCATGACTCAGAAAGGGTTGCCACACAGGAAAAGATTAATCATTTGCTGACGTAACCAAACCTGTAGGTTAGCTTTTAAAATTAGGAGAAAGTTGGACATATAATCCAACACGTAAGAGCAAAGAGTTTGCATGCGATGTTAATTGAAACGTGGTCAGTAAAGGCACCGAATAACACGAACGTCCGTGTACCACCTGTACCACCACCACAACATACGAGTGGAAAAACATGCGACAGCAATTCTTTCCCAGCCAATCGTCAAACTAACTGATGAAGGCAACCAAAAGATCAAAATTTCCATCCTTGAACTCAAAAAAAAACGGTAAAGAACGATAATTGAACTGAAGGTCAATTCAGCGTTGTTGAAGCACAAGTTGGAGCCCAAGCCGACAGGATTAGACAAATAGGATGTAATACATAGTAAGAACAAAAAATACAAAATCCTGAAGCAATGACATATCGCTGGTTTACACCAAAAAGACAAGAAAAGTATCCGAATAAGCATGAACCAAATTAGAGAAGGAAGCTAAAGTATGAAAAATCATGGCCATCTAAGAGATCTAGAGGGAAATGAAAATGAGAAAGCTAAAAGCGCCGTAATTGCAGCAGAAACAAGAGAAGTAGAGGGGGAAATACGAAAATGGCAGTCGCGTAGACAACGATAAGAGTGAAAAAGCAAAGATATTGGGGGAAGTGTTGATTAATTTCAGAATTTGAGGGTAGAAGGAAGAAGAAAAAGAGGAGAAAGTGGAAGAGAATACCTGGATGGAGAGGTGGTGGCCATGGGAAGCAAATGAAAATGCAGAGATTTGAGCAGAAGAGAGAAATGAGTGAGGGAGCAGAGTTGGTCGGTGTATCGAAGATGATGACGCAGGTCGCGGAAGAGTTGTTGACACACTATACGCTACTAGGGCTGCCCCAGGCCCAACTTCGTTGAATGTGTGAATTTCCCTATTTCTCCCTCCTCGTTTTCGCTTATATAACCTTGAACCGAGGTTAATCTCGTAAAACTAAATACCTTCCTTCCTCCCCCACTGTTCCCATTTTATTAGGCTGATTTTATTTGTTATTTTTTAAACCTAAAATCCCATTTTTTTTTTTTTTTTTTTTTTAAAAATCTTTTATCTATGTTTTTTTTCCCTGGCCGTAATATCGGGGCTATCATCGGAACACGAGAAAAGCTCAACTTATATTAAAAGTTGGCTTGCATGGGACATAACCCTCGAAGGAGCCGTTCACAAAGACGCCCCTATCGGAGTCAAATATGCAAATCATCATATAATGTTCCTACTAAAACTTTTTTCAACAATCACTTCTCAAAGTGATCATCAGTGGTTGGTTATCATAAACACACTATGTCCCTACTGACCAACCTGTACAAGAAATCTCGTTACTAATGTAGTTTAAGAACAAAATTGATACAAAATTAAGAGTACGGAGACTAAATGAAGTTATTAGTGGCACGAAAGCGATATAGGCGTTCAATATGAAAGAAACGGAAGAAATGGAAGAAAGGCAGGGAAAATGGGCACAGCTTGAACACTTTACATGTCAGCCATTGGAAAAGCAGTGATATCACACATTTTTTTGGGGGTGTGTTCAATGTTTGTGGTTCCATTCTTGGTCAATAAATAGTCTCCCACACAACAGGGGTTTGCACATAATACCATAATAATGGAGTCAGGGGTTGGATCATCAGGGGTTGGATCATCAGGGGTTGGATCATCAGGCACCACAATATGCACCAATGGCGCCTTCCATGCCACTGCCAAACCCGCCCTTCTCATGCTTCTGGTTCAGTCGGTGTTCGCAGGCGTCAACGTTCTCTACAAATTGGCTGTCAACGATGGAATGAATCTGATGATCATGATCGCTTTTCGTTTCGTGTTCGCTTCCCTTTTCATGCTTCCCCTTGCCTTCTTTCTCGAAAGGTTTTTTCTTTTCGTCTACATTGAGTTTTCCCTTTAAAATAAGGAGACATTTTCGTATCATTATGTGTCCGTTCTAATTTAAATTTCTAACAGGAATAAACGCCCGAAGATGACATGCTCCATACTCTTCTATGGATTTCTTTGTGGATTATTTGGGTACGTAAGCTAAATTAATAAAAATACTCGTTACAATTAGTTTTACATGCAAATATTTTTATTAGAATATGTACGGGAACAAAAATGAATAAGGAGTGCAATTTATTTGGACAGAGGGACGTTGAGTCAAAACTTATACGTACAGAGTTTGGCAATGACGTCGGCAACATTTGTTTCGGCCATGCAGAATCTCTCTCCGGCTATTACCTTCCTTCTCGCCCTCTCCTTCGGGTAACAATATCCACATCTCTTATGCCCAACATAAACAAATAAACTTAAATTTTGGTTGTTTAGTTTGAGTTAGGAGTATAGACGAGTTAGAGTTGAATTCAGTTGATTATTCGAATCAATTAAACAGGGTCTATTATTCAATCCAATCCAATCAATCGCCTCATTGTTTATTTTAAAAACTTTTAATTATTTACCTTAATAACTAAAATTTTATTAAACTTCATATTTCAATATTCATAAGCAATTAGAATGTTTGAGTCGTAGGTGAAGGTGAAAATTGAAGAAATAAACCCTAACATATAACATATGTTAAATTTTACTTTGGATCGAGTTGAACTGATCCAAAAACTCTAATTCGCCAACCAAACCAAAACCCAACTCCAAAACGAAAAAAAAAAAAAAAGTCAACTCGACTTTTAGAATTTAGATTAGACAGCTCGAGTCGTTTAGATTATTGGGTCATTTGAATGGTATATTTAATCGTTCCTAAACACTAAAAGAGCTACTATCAAAATTTCTTATTGTATTTTATATCAAATTTTCATGAATGTACACTTTTTTTTTTTAATTTTTTTTTCTTATTGTATTTTTTTTATTTATAAATTTATGATAATTTAGAATTAAAATTTATAAATAAAAAAAGAAAAAAAAGATTTATGAGCATGTATGTATGATGATGATGTATCACAATCACTTTATTAAAATAATAATAATAATAATAATAATAATAAAAAGTTAAAAAGGAGGACCATATGTTTACTTGGAAGTCCTTCTACTTTGGGGTAACCCATCAAAACCCTTTTTTGGAAAATGAGAGAAAAACTTCAATTTGATTACGAGTGATGTAAAATCTACTAACCTTTTAATATTGGAAAAAGAGAAGAAGAAAAAAAAGTAGCTTTAGATACATGAGGTGTTTGATTTACAGTCAGAGATGGCTATCTAAAAGTAATGGACACCCGAGAATAAGATGTCAAAATATAAAATAATATTATGTTTGATTATACTTGATAATGCTGATAAATTTCTTCAAATTCTAAGAATTTTTATATTAGTTAATCGTTTCGTTAATGAATTTGATATGAACATAAATGTGTTGCAATACTATTAAAATTATATTTTTTATTGCAATTTAGTAATTTTATTTTGAGATAAGATGAAAATTCAAACTATTTTAACAATTAATCAGTTAATTAATTAAGGTTAAGGTGTACTGACATGTGTAGGATGGAAAAGTTGGAGACGAGGAGCAAGGAAGGTGTGGCCAAGGTGGCAGGAACCTTAGTGGGGATTGGTGGGGCCATGTTTCTTACTTTCTACAAAGGCATCCAGATCAGCATTTGGTCAACCCACGTGGACCTTCTCCGTGGAGGACACTTGGCACATCTTCCTCAAAATTCTCACCACTCCCACAATTTTGTGCTTGGAAGTCTGCTGGCTCTCGCCAGCTGCCTCTCTTACTCTTTCTGGCTCATCCTTCAGGTTACCATTGTTGATGCTTCTTTATTCTATAGTGTTGTATATAATATGAACCAAAAATTGAATTTGAGTACAGCTAAGTGGATGACACATAAAATATTAATCTCAGACGTAGTCGACTACTATTGAATAGATCTTATATGTAAGATTTGATTTTGGTGGCAGACAAAAATGACGAAAATATATCCATGTCAATACTCAAGCACCGCGTTGATGTGTGTGATGGGAGCAATTCAGGGGTTGGCAATATCAATTTGTGTCGAGAGGGATTGGAAGCAATGGAAATTGGGTTGGAATATCAGGCTTCTCACCGTTGCATTTGCCGTAATTTATTAATTTTTAAGCCTTTTAAACATTTAGATATGATCCTTTGGTTCATTTAATAATACGACATACATATAATGGATTTGGATGCAGGGGATCGTGGCGTCGGGAGCCATGGTGACGCTGATGGCGTGGTGCGTACGTATGAGAGGGCCATTGTATGTGTCTATTTTCAGCCCTCTTATGCTTCTCCTGGTAGCTATTGCTGGATCCCTGTGCCTCCAAGAAAGCTTGCACCTTGGCAGGTACCTTCAAAATTTTGCAATTTAATCATTTAGTCTTCTAAATACAACAATTATTAACGAAAATTTTGTTGAGCTTTGTAGTGTGATTGGAGCAGTGCTGATTGTGTGTGGTTTATACATGGTGTTGTGGGGCAAAAGCAGAGAGATGAACAACATACTTCCATTGAAAGACGTTGAGGTTACCACTCCAAAGCCTCAAAATGAAAGTCAAATTTATGATATCAAGAACAACACAAGCATTACCACTTGATTAAAGTTTTGATATATCATATACTATCATGTTTGAAGTTTTTATGCTTAAGGTTCTATCTGTTTTGAAGATGCTCTATTTTGATCACTAGAAACTTGTTTTAGTATAAGCCGTTCATGTATATGTGTTGCTAGCCACGCATATCAAGTTTAATATAAAGTTTGGAAACAAAGATCACAGTTAGTTCAGTTAGTTTACATTATGACATCTGATCAAAACTTCTTTATGTCAAAATGATGATATCGGTTAATCTCATCGACTAAAGAATTCCTACGGCCATTGAAGGTTGAGCCGGCTGTAATGAGCATGATACCAAACATCCAAAATGTTAGAATACTCTACATTTTTTGCATAAAGCACTTGACAAAATCATGATCTAAAACGTCATTTAAGGTGCCGTTCTGCCAAGTTTGCTACACGAACTCGAGCATATAGCCCATTTACACGCTTTTTCGTATCACTGGTGGGAGCTTGATGAAATTTCTAGTCTATGATTACATCATGAAAATGTTGTAAACAAATGAAAACATCAAATATTCAAGGCTACAAAAGTGACCGTTACCCAACGGCAGCTCCCAATCTGGGGTATATCCATGGCATCTCTGGATGCTTGGTTGTCTGATTCACCAATCTTAGGAGCATTCTTGAACAGAAGATGGTGTGTCATCGACATAGATAATTGACTGACAAGACACCACAGCAGAGAAGGTTGAGAAAACAAAAAGGGACAATAAATAAATAAAGTAAATTTATATAGAAAAGTGAGATTCTTTCGGATGAGAAGAAAGTTGACGTGTAAAATACCAGATCTTCAAATAGTTCAGCAAAGAAGCATAAAACAGGTCCTAAGCTTACAAACTTGCTCCTTTGAACGAGTAAAAGTGAGGATCCTGTCTGGCATCATAGAAACGGCACGAAGTAGTCCGGAGTATATTAAGCGATGGTAGATATAACATCATCTGCATCGACTTTAAGCTGAAAGGAATTTTTTATAAAAATGTCAGGCATATTGACAAGAGGGTTGTACTAGCAACGAGACAATCATTAAAACATAACATACCAGCTTCAGATGATTCATCAAAGCACCATGCAGTAGGTTTCTCAGCTTCTCACAAGCATCTACCATGTGACCTGAGCGGATCAATTCATCTATTTTGCACCATAAGTTCTGAACGGCATTGTAGGGGAAACAAACAGAGGATGGTCTTTTTCTGTTAATTATGTCTGTGGGTGGCTGCAGAAAGTTGGAATAAGTTTCAGTATGTGGCCCAGAAA